GTCCAGCACATCTCTGGAACTTACTCATCTAGCATAACTAGAGCTTTATACCCATTGAACAATGACTTGTCATTTTCCCCACCTTCAGCCTCTGGCAATCACTATTGTATTCTTTGCTGTACGAGTTTGACTATTTTGGATACTTCATATAAATGAAGTCATACAGTATTTGTCCTTTTGTGACTAGCTTATTTCACTTAGTCAAGGTGGGTTTTATGTATTAATAGGGTTGGCTTACCTCTGTATTTCATAGAAATTCATTTTCTTTCCTTCTCTATATTAGGTTGTATGGCTGACCAAGAGAAGGAGAGCATAGGTATGTTTGCCTGTTTGAATGGAGCCGCAGCCTCCACCATCCACCACTTACCATTCTTTTCCAACACCGGCCAGGCAATTTACAAGATGGATGTGAAAGGTCTCGTGGACTGGTTTATTTCTAAATGTCTTTTGGTGGGTGGCTGTATAATATATATAATCTGAGATTCAGAAGAGCTTCCCTGTACCTGGTTCCTAGGGAGGAGAACAAAGCAGACTCAAAATGGCCGCTCTGCTGAGGCTGATCAACATCATAAAATGTAGATGTTGTAGTTTCCTAGGGAAACATTAATTTTATGACAGCCACTTTAGACTGTTTATAAAATGAAAAACTCATTCGAGAGTTAGCAACAATTTCACACCTCACTTTGATGCCTTGGCAGATGTTATGGGAGCATTCTGCAAGGTTATTAAAACAGAACCAGGTCTCAGTGTGTGTCCCCAGTGAGTCACCTGTCAAAAGCATTTGTGGGAGACACTTGTCTCAACTTATGTCCCCAAGATGGGTCTTATGTGAAAGAACTTTCTCTGATGTAATAAATATGTGCTTTCCTCTTAAAAAGTATGAAAAAATTAAGAAAACAAAAGCAATGAAAAAAAACCACTAATGAAAAAGGTTGAGGCATTTACATATGTAATCAAATTTCATATACCCAGATAAAATATAGTCCAATTTCAAAGGCAAATGAACTAGAAAAATATTTACAAATACATCATACATAGGGTTTATATATTTAATAAAGAAGACATTATAAATCAATATGAATGATAAAATGTCAAATGATAAAGAGACAAAGGACCTGAATCTGAACATGAAGATTACAAAGTTAAGATCTACAGATCTACAACACATATGTGGAAACATTGTCCGTTACAATGATAATACGCAACTTCAAACAAGATACCATTTTTTCCCTATTAAACTTGCAATGATAATTTTAAAAATCAATACTTGGTGCTCAAGAATAGCATTTCCTGGGGTACTTTCTAAAAATGCAAGTTGATAGGACCTATCCCAGACCCAACAAAATAGAATCCCAGTGGATGGACCCTAGAAGCAAGTTAGGAAGATTCTGATTTAATTGACTTGCAGAAGGACCTGGGAGTCAGTCATTTCCCATCCCCATCCTAAGGGATCTTAGTGCAAGCTTGATAACCTCACTCTAAGCAGTAGTTGTCAACCATGGCTGGTCTATTGAATCGCCTTGGAAATTTTAAGAAATACAGACACTTGGATACTACTCGCAGAAATTCTAATTTAAAATCCGTATGTGTTCAATTACAATATCAAACATTTTAAAAGCTCATTAAGTGACTCCAAAATGTAGCTAAAGTTGAGAAAACCTACTCTAGAGAGCATGATAAAATGAACATTTGTATGCTTTTCGAATGGAAGTGAAAATTGGTACAACCCTTTTGACAAAAAAATTGGCTGTGTGCTGCTTTTTTAAAAAATAGCATTCTTTCACTAAAAATTGCAATGTTGTAAGTTTATCTTACCAATGTAATCTAAATATAGAAAACATCTATTAGCACAAATGTTCTTTGTGCTTAATTGATACAATAACAATATCTGAGAGCAACATAACTGGCCAGCCATAGGGTAATGGTTTAATAAACAATGGTATGTTCACAGAATGAAGTGCTATATATTCATTAAAAGTGCATATAATATGTTTTTAATGTCATGAGAAAATACAGGGGTAAAGGGGAAAAGTAAGGTATAAATTTTATCTACTGCATGCCAAGACTTATTTAAAATAAGCATAGCAAAAACGATGGGAAGAAAATATTCTAAATTACCGAGGGTGGTTATCTTTGAGCTATGAGAAGGTAAGTGACTTGGGGGATTATTTTCTAACTTTTCTGAATTTCAGAAATTCATATAAATTTGGCCTGGATGAGTGGCTTATTGGTTGAGAGTTGGCTTGAGAGCGTGAACTCTGAGCAGCAGAGCCACCAGTTCAGATCCCACATGGGCCAGTGACAGGGCACCCTCCACAGCTAAGATGGTGAACAACAGCTTGACCTAGAGCTGGGCTGCTGTGAGTTGCCGGCAATGGCGTAGGCTGCAGTGGGCTGCAGTGGGCTGCTGTGAGTGGACAGCAGCCAGTGTGAGTGGTGGGCAGCCGGTGTGAGCTGCCATGAGCTGCCATGAGCAGCTGTCCCGTGGCTGGTGACCAATCTACCTCACCTGGGAAGAGCACAATGATGATAATACCAACATAGGCCAGTGAAGTGACATCCTCCACAACTAGACTGAAGAACAAAAGGACAGCAACTTTTCTGTTCTTCTCCGATTTCCCAACGCTGTTCACCCCCCCAATTCCCCAATAAAACCTTTTTAAATAATTGATATAAATTTATGTTCTAGTTTAAACATTTAGAATTTGTATTGTGGTAAAGTGTATGCATGATGTAAAATTTACCATTTTAACAATTTTCAAATATACATTGGTGTACAACTCTCACCATCATCTGCCTCCAGAATTTTTTCAACTTCCCCATTATCTTCTCCTCCCAGCCTCTGGTAACAACTATTCTACTTTTTGTCTCTATCAATTTGATTATTCTCTGCATCTAATATAAATGAAATCATATAATACAATATTTGTCATTTTGTGTCTGGCTTATTTCACTCAGCACTAGGTTTTCAAGGTTCATCCGTGTTGATCATATATCAGAATGCCATTGCATTATATCATTGCATGATAGCCCATTGTATGTATAAACCACATTTTGTTTATCCCTTCATCCATTGATGGGCATTTGGGTTGTTTCCACCTTTTGACGATTGTAAATAATGCTGCTATAAACATTGGTGTACAATACCTGTTTAAGTACCTGCTTTCAGTTTTTGAGAGTATATACCTAGAAACAGAATTACTGGGTCACTTGGCAATTTTATGTTTCATTGTTTGAAGAACTGCCGTGCTGTTTTTCATAGAGGCTGCACCACTTTACATTTTCACCAGCAATTCACAAGGGTCCTAATTTGTCCACACACTTACAATTTTTTACTTACCAAGGTCAATTTGTTTTTGTCACATAAAGAAAGGGCTAATCGCTCTCTATCCATCCATACCCGACTTCTACTAAACACACAATCCTATGAAAGTTAATATCCCTGGGAGTCGACCTCTATTCTCCACGTTTTGCTTTTCTAAATTCCTACTACTTGCTTGTACCATTCACTTTTGAATCACTTTATATTGTTTTCAATTCTTCTGTAATTTTTTTCACATGTAAATTATGTTTTATTGTTCTTAAGTATCACCCATATTAACTAAGATAGACTGCATAGTGAGGTTTAATTAAGTGTTTTCTAATCAACTAATAATAAATTTGTCTAAAGAAAAATATTGTTGGGAGTGGAGCGTTCTTCAAGGTTAATATAATCATAGAAAACTAGAGCAGTAAACCAAATGATTTGTGGACCAGGACCAGAAGCCTGGGTCTTTAGCTATTAAACATCTCCCCAAAATAAAAATAGCCATTTAGAAGGATCCAAACTTATTGAAGTTGATATACAGTCAACATCCAAAAATCAAAAACCCTTAACTAAAAGTTTAGTTCATTCTATGGTGTGGTGACCATGAAAGAGTACAAAAATATTTAAGGAAACCTCAGAACATGGTCTAAATGATTTTTAGGGAAACAAGAGTGTTTAACAAGCAAATAGACTGAGATTCAGAATAGAGGCGAAAATGGCAAGATGGCTATCGTGTTATAATAGAAATTTAGTAAATGTATTCTATCAAAAGTTTGGACTAGGCATCAAGTTACTGGTTTCCAGCTGTTACAGTTGAAAGAATAAAAGGAAGGGAGGCCGGGAGGAAAGAGATTAGAAAAAAAGAAAAAAAATACTTCTAGAGTTTAAGAAACAATCTGACAGGTTTATAACATTTCACTAAAACCAACAACGCCAAATCATAATGGGCTGAAGCTTCAATCAGGCCCCTAAAGCATCTGTATTTTTTTTTTCTTAATGACTAAGGTGAAATACACCAAATTATGGAAAGTGGGGAGGGTTTCCAGTAGTTGGCCAGTGTTCTAGGTGATGTATGATGAGCAATTCCCTTAAACAACTGATTTACTGCCAAGAGAGAAAAACACTGGAAGCACATCCAAAAACTCATCTGCATTAAGAATACAAGAGAGGCCATTCTGTCCACCTTCCCCTCCCTTACCAGAGAGGTGACCCTGCTCTTGGCAACTACTTCCACAAAGGCCACTGAAGAACACCTTCCCACACAACCCTTTCTTTTGCCTTAAAAATCAGCATAAAGCTTGCTTGACTCTGTTTTCCAGTCGTTTCCTTTCTCCCTCCTTTCTTTCCTTTCTCTCTCCCTTTCTTCCTTCTATCTTCCCTCCCTCACTGATTTTCTTTCTTCCTAAAAATCACTGCTTTTTAAATACTACTCCCAGATCAACTCTACTCCACCAGAAATCCGTCGCAGGCCAGACGGAAGCAGACCTAGGCGGCTGGCCCTTGCATTCGCAAGCACCATCTGGCACCTGCGGTTCAGTGCCACTTTCCATCCACCCAGAGGTGAGAGGGGCGGAGGCAAAGGACACGCAGAGCTGGTGTGACCCAGTTCTTCGGAAACTTTCAGCCGGTTGCAACCGTTCCCCCACCCGAAGCTCTTTAATCTTCCATCAGGCCAGAAAAATACAATGACCTCTGCCTAGCCTTTGGAATTGGAAAAGAAGCGAAGCAAGAAAAGCAAAACCAGGAGGTTCGCCCCGTTGCCTCCCCGTCGCCCAACCGCAGCGGGCGCAGAGAGGCGGAGCGGCCGGAAGGGGCCGCTGTTCGCTCAGAGCAGCCTTCCCGCCGCCACCCGCACCTCCCACCGCCCTGCTGGCCCAGCCCCGCTAAGTTCCAACATCCCCCAGTCAAGCGAGCGCCAGGAACGAGCACCGCCGGAGTCGGAGCAGACGGCGCAGACCAGCCAGGCTGCAGCGCGAGTCGGAAAGGCTCCTGGGAAATTCCCACGGCCCCGGGACTTTGGAAAGGAGAGAGCGAGCAGCCCCCGCGCGCTGAAGTCTGCAAGTGAGCGCTCAGCTCGGCACCTGTTTCTCCGGTGCCCCCGCCTTCCCACCCCTCGGACCCGCGCCTCCCGGTTCGCCCGCCCGCTCCCGCGATGAATACGGCGCCGGGCAACCAGACCGATGTGGCCGGCCTGTTCCTGGCCAACAGCAGCGAGGCGCTGGAGCGCGCCGTACGATGCTGCACCCAGGCGTCCGTGGTGACCGACGACGGCTTCGCCGAGGGCGGCCCGGACGAGCGCAGCCTGTACATCATGCGTGTGGTGCAGATCGCCGTCATGTGCGTGCTCTCGCTCACCGTGGTCTTCGGCATCTTCTTCCTCGGCTGCAACCTCCTCATCAAGTCCGAGGGCATGATCAACTTTCTGGTGAAGGACCGGAGACCGTCTAAGGAGGTGGAGGCGGTGGTCGTGGGGCCCTACTGACCGGCCCACCGGCCCCCTCGTCAGCCGCCCCCATGCCTCCCCACTTCGCCAGCCCGGCCGCTCCCCCTCACCATCCGAGACTGGGGGAAGCAAACCTGTCGGAGTCAATTATTTCTTTCGACTTCTGCCTTTCGGGATGAAAGCGCCCCGTTTCTCGCTCACTCCTTGAAACTCCCCATTCCTGGCTGTAGGAGGAGAGAGCCCTGATTCTGGACTCAGCAGCAAGTGGCAAAAAGAGAACAACAACTAGGGCGCACATTTTGGAAGCGGTCGCTAGTTTAGGATGCGGGGAAACCGACGGGCGAAGGCCCTTCTCCACCGCAGGTGGGCCAAGCTCTGGGGGCAGGTGGAGAGGGCGGGCAGGGAGAGACCCAGCGGCACCGAATGCCCGGTGGCCCGAAAAGTGATCCATGTATACGCCACGCAACAGAATGGGGAACAGAAATCCGTGTCCGGATTCGCGCCCATTTCCTCCTGCCCCTCCCAGCCCTGGCGGGAGAGGCGATACAAATACCTTTGGTTGATTATAACGTGCCGTTTTAAGGAATTTTTGTGTTTGTTTGCTTGAATACAAATATTTGATAAGTCCTTTTCTGCCCTCGTGGCCTGTTTGCCTGTCTGGGGTTAGAGTTTTATCATCGTAGGAAAACGGGTGGGGGGAGGGGGAGCCTGCGAATGTGAACAGGGTGAGTTGTTTCTTTAATTGCATTTACTACTGGGTCTTTTTTGGGGGGGCCGGCGTCTCAGCTGGCTCTGAGCAAAGACCCAGAATAGAACTCGTACCTAGTTCGTGACTGCACGGTTTACGCCACAAAAGTGCTCTTGACATTCGTGACACCGTTTTGACTTTTTTTTTTTTTCTTAGTTAACGTTTCCTTAATAAATGCAACATTTAAGTGTTTTGTTTCTGGCCTCCTGGTGGTCATTCTGCGCTCTCGGCAGAAGGGAACGGGCGGCGGGTTTACCGGCCTAGGGAATTCGCTTTGGAGAGCTGTGATTCAAGATCCACGAGTTGAAGAGGGTTGGAGCGAAACGGAGAGGCCTAGAGGCCAATGAGACACGGCTAAGTCTCAGACACAGGAGTCCTCCTGGAGGCAGCCGCCTTTGTTTTCTCTCACAGTTAATATTTTATATTTCACTTAAGCTCAGCTCAATGAGCCAGGCGAGACGACAGGAGGCCCCAGTGGGAAGATTACACTTCCGTGCAGGGCTCCGGTGGGAACACAGGGTTACACCGCTAATGAAAGAAAGAGAAGGCTTGTCGGCGGCGGCGAGGGTGCCTTTCCCTTGACCGACGTAAGCAAGATGGCTTCGGGATGTTGCTCAAAAAATAAATAAAAAAGTTATAATAATAATAATACTTTAAATACAAGGAAAAGTAGCTGCTAAAGTACATAGTGACGCTAATTCTCCCTGGAGTAAACTATTGTTACCAAAACATGAGATGCATTCTTTGCCGTATTACAAATGGCAGAAAGGGTGAGATTAAAAGAGAGGCCCCACCTGCTCTTGAATTCAGAGTAATAAGGCTCAGGTTGAGCGGAAAGATTCAGAGGAATTAGCCCCGGTCCTGGGTGTAGGAGATGAGTATTACCACCCAAACTGGGAAGGCTGGGCCAGAGTGGAGCTGCAGATGGTCGTGGGCACATTTAGGGCTTATAAATTGAACAGTGTTGGTAAAAAGAGAAAACTGTAAATGTGAAAATAACCCAAACGATACAATAACTTCACGTTTAAACTTGACAAGAGGTTTTGAGCAGTTGATTTTTATGGTTTGGGAAGGCTCCTAAATATTTTCAAGAATATAAAGGAAACTCTGCTATGCTATAGCAATTAAAGACTTCACAACAGCAAATATAACACAAATTAAGTAACAATAAAGTGTCCCATTTACTTGGGAAGAAGCACAACTGGTGTGAACAATGTCAGTGACTCAAAGCATGGGGATCAAAAGCTTTGAGTGTGCTTTAAAATCCTGTCCACTCTTAAGTGTCTTTTTCACTCTCAAAGTAAATTTTACCAGGAATTATGACCTAGAATGGTTTTTAGAATGGTAATAGGTATCAAGCTTGAAAAAAGGATTTTGAAGTTTCGCCAGTTGGTCCTGTCTTTTCAGCAGGTGAAGGTTTGCTTGTTTGGTTTTGTTTTCTTGCTTGTACCTGAGGAGAGGAGCAGGGTCAAAATGTAGTCAAGGGTGAGTCATGGAGGGCAGTTTAGTTTTGCCAATGGGTAGGACAGAAAATGGAGACTTATTATTTTGTAGACAATTTCTGTGGCACCAAGTTAAATTGGCTGCCTCGATGTTTCAAAGAGAGAAACAGCAAAACGACCAGTTCTCTCTGGGACAAACCAGACATTTAAAATGAAACTCAATTGTTTTGTGGTTGCAATATCTGTTGAGGGTCCTTCTTCCCGCAGATTTATTAGTTCACCTGTGAATTCAATGCCCCGGTGCAAATCAATTTGGGATCAAAAACCAATCAGCTAGTGTTTGAAGGCATCCTGCTTTGGGCTCTGCTGTGTGCAAGGTAAGGTGCATACTTACAGTGACTTTCGGACTCAGAAAGGTTTCACACCTACGAGTCAGTTATTTCTTGTCTGTATGAAACAGAACGTACGTTTGCTGTAAAGCCAAGGTCCTGAAAGTTGAGAGAAGGCCTGCCCGAACGCCCTACTACTTCCTCCTCTACTGCTACTATCTGTTTCCTCTCTCACCACTATCTCCTCCATCTTTGTTCCTCTTAATACTTCTTCACACCTCTTTCCTCTTCACTGCACCTCAAAAACAAAATTCACAGTTTTTCCTTACCTCAGCAATCCAGATTTATTCTCTCACCTCCAGAAATAGTGATTGTCAGACAAACCAGAACCTACAACATTTAGTCCTTAGGTTGAAAAACTATGTGAAGTGAGCTCCGTAATCCATGATCTATGCATTACAGGGAAATGTACATGGTCTGAAAATATCAGAGCCCTGGGGACCATTTTCTGCCAGCAACTCTTCTCTACAGCCCTTAGATCCATTTGTTACTTAGAGAGATGCCAAGTGGTTCTGGTTTTTATAGATGAGGCGATGTGTGCAAGAAGCTTTTTACACTCCCTATTCCCTGTGGCCATGCAGCAACCACTTTCTCCCGCCCCACAACACTCCCTGTCTCACTCTGCCTTTGACACTGTTTTTTCCCTGAGTCTAACAAATGCATTAAATGACACTTTTAAATTCTGCTCAGAGTTTATAGAGGGTCAATCCTTTCCCACAGATGTGCTATAAGGAAAGTGAGTTTTAAAAGTCACTTTCTAGGTTTCACCTAAAAAAATAGTGTCAGCTTTAAGAGGCTAGGAATTGAGAAGGATAGATGCAAACAGGCAGATTTTATCCCACACTTAGGTCCATCATTTAGTTAGTAAATAGTGGGAAGCGAGAGAGAGAGAGAGAGAGAGAGAGAGAGAGAGAGAGAGAGAGAGATTCCTGTAAAAGCTTGCTAGGTCTGACATGGTCTATGGGGAGGTATCTGATACTTCCTGAAACCCTTCTGGAAATAGAGCAGGAGCAGGGAGAGGCTTTCGTGAGACATAACAAGTATATTAGTAAGGTTGTAACCCTCATAGGCTGTGCAAACAGCCACTGATATCTATAAGCCTTATTGGGTGGCCTTCACATACGTAGCTTAGATAATTGTTAATAAATGTTATTTTTCTTAAGATTGGTGTTATGCATCTTCCCGGTCTCTGAAAATGTATCAAGAACTTGAGTGCTGGACCCCTTGAAGACTGCTTGCGGGAAGCCAAAGCACAAAGGGCACAGTATTATGTTAAGTCCAAGATCGCACTTGCTCCTGGGGGATGGTCATTGTGCCTGATTTCTGATTTTCAAGCCACCCTGGCCTCTCATTGGATCCTGGGTCAGTCCTGCTATTGGGCCTTCCTACACTAGTTCTGAGTGAAGGAAGGAAAGGCACATTGGACCATAATATCAGGAAGTTTTGTTCTGGTCTCTAAGTAGCTAAGTGGCTTCATTCCTAAAATGAGGAAGATGGATTCTAAAAGGACGTTCCAATTCTATAAGTCTATTCAATTAATTTATTTAATGTCTCCTTGTCTCTTATTAAGATATTTCTTAGATCTTTTCAATGGGTAAGTTAGAAATATTTTTAGTCGTTCCAAACTTGGTCCTCTCGGTAGAAATTTCCATGCCCGAAAGTCAAGTGCTCCTCGACTCAGGATAGTCATTTACAATAATCTAAGCAAAATTTCAGACACCTAAGTCCTAAGTAGACAGCAGTTTCTAAGCTGACATATCACACATCATCTAAACAGTGCCTTAAATATCCCAGATCTCTGTGTTCTCACTGGAGGAAGCAAGGAAGGCAAAGCCCAGTGAACTGAGGAGCAAGTAATCAGCAAGTGAGTCCCATAGGTATACACACATTCAGACGAATATACACTGTTGTTTATAGAAACTTCTTGTGTATTTGAAAACTAATTAACAGCCAGTTTCTCGCCCCCACAGCATTTTCCCCTTTGAGCTTCTGTAACATCACACAGCAGCTGTTCCACGTGCAGTTTAGAGCCTTCCTTAGCCCTGGCTTATTATACTTGTCACTTGAGGGGTGGCAATGCCAGGAAAGGATTCCAGGGTTCAGTTTGTTCTCTAAGACTCAAACCTAATTTGAAAGCCTGTTGAAGCAGCAAGTCTACAGCAATCCCCCAAACTGGAATCAATAAATCTTTTATCCACCTGCCAAATCCCATTTAGATATGTGCACAACAGCTCAAATGGGATATGTTAAAGTCAGCTCTACCAGTGGTAATTGTTTCCTAATGTCTGAATTTAAATGCTCAGTAGTTAATTGCTTCCATGGCTAATCTCTGTCCTTCTTTCCAGATAATTTTGTATTGTTTTAAACACTTAAAATGTTAGAAAGTCCAGGGCTAGTTTTATAGCATCAGCTAAGATTTAAAAATTCTTGGGAAGTGTAGTTTATGAAAAAATAAAGTACAAGATGTTATCAGCAAGTCATAAATCATTTATGGTGCTAATAAAATAATCTGAATTTATTACTTATATTTGAGAAATTCAAAATATTTCAGAGGAGGCTTTTACAAGGACTATTGTAAGGATAACTAGATGCATTTTAAAATATTCCTTAGTAAGCTAGCAAACATTTGTTTGCTTTCAACCCAAATAACAATGTTTACTAAATGAGGATAAGCAAGGCATAGTTTTATTTATTTGATGATTTATGTATATTTTGGAGGTATGATGGGTAAATAGTTTCCTTTCCTAAATATATGTAAGTGCTTACTTACTGGAGTACTTTTGAGTGGATAAATGCAGTCACAGTGATCAATACATGAGAAGTCTAGCCGTCTATGATAATGCTGCAACAAAACTCTGCCCGCCCCCCTTTTTAAAACTGGTTTCCACTAGATAGTAACGTTTTCCGAACTCATAATTCACACAGATTGTGTTTGTCAAGCACCCATGTGTACATGGTGCATCGCAACATATTACTGAAAAATTGAGATGATTCCTATCCATTTGCACCATAAAACACAGGCACAGGTAAACACACATAACAAAGGCATAGGATCTACCCACATGAGTCAAATAACAAAGCGTTCCTATTTACTGTTTCCAGAATTCATAGTGATATAAATATACATACCTAATTATGCCATAGCCTACATGTTGATATGGTTTATTACAAGGAGAGATGTTTTGATTTTTTTAATTTTTTTTTTCATATTTGCTTTCCATCCTCACCAATTTCTCTCATTAATTACTTATTTCCTAACCCGCATCTGAAGATACGCTACCCTGAAAGAGTCATTGATTTTTATCAGACCAAGACTCCATATGTCTGATTGCTCTGGGAAATGAATTCCTCTGGGAACCAAA